CAGAGATCATGATGCATACACTCCGACGCAGGAGCTCATCCCGCAGGCACTTCCGCAGATGGGCGTGGACCAAGGCTTCTGGCTCCGCGGCACGATGGCCAAGTCATGGGCAGAGGTCCCAGCCCCACGGGTTGACGCGACAGCCTTACGGCAGAAGGGATCAACGAAGGCAGCGAAGGCATCCTCGGCACGGGCACCATGCAGCAGCCGCTGCCCCTCAGCGGCGACGCTAGCGGTGGCCCCGACTCTAGCAGTGCGCTCTGTTCGACGCGTTGGCGTCGGAGCTGCTTTTTTCCCTGTCGCTTGAAGCCCGTGCTGTTTGGGGCTGCCACCGTCCGTGGGCCATTCGCTGGGCCCCGCCAGGCCGTCGCTCGAGGGGACTTGCGCGCGATGCTGTCAGCCAGTTGGATGACGAAAGGCTTCATCCTGTACGCCTCAGGCTGCGAGCCCGTAGTCCGGGGGTAGCTCGAGAAACGCTTCGAGCATCCCTCGGGCCCCGACGCCGACCTCTGGGCCGGTGGAGGCCGCCTCCTCCTCAGTCGCGGTCCTGCTCGCCTCGTCACGGCTGTTGTGTGTCAACGCTCGCATCAGACCGCGGAGGATGCAGCCAGGCTGCCAGCCCAGAGGTGGACGGTCACGGCCAGCGCGCTCGCAGACGAGGCTGCAGGGCAGCCCTTGAAGCCAGACCCCCTCCCTGCCATCGCTCGGACGTCCATTCCCCGTGCCTTTTTCGGTTTCGTGCGTGGTTTTTTCGCCAAATGATCAAGGATGCTCATCGATGGTCCTCGCCGAAGGAAAATTGCACACGTCCGAGCGATGCCAAGGGGCAGCGATTGAAGCCAGACCCCCGCTTACTGTGCGCCAGACTGCTCTGCTGCACGAGCGGAGAGCACGCCTCGTTCGCACGCGGACTCTGCGCGCCACTTTGTGCGCGTGTGCGGCCGAAAGGGCCGATCAACAACAAGAGGAAAGCCAGGCCGTGCCTCTGGGGAACAAAAGCGTCCCTCCGCTGCTGCTGCTGCTTCTCCGCCTCCTGCCGCTGCTGCCATCTCCTTCTTCTCCTCGTCTCGTTGCCTCGACGGCAGTGGTCGGGGCTGCAGGAGATGTGGGGGCTCCGCGGCCAAGAGCTGCCTTACAGACTGGCGGCAGTCCCAACGCTTCGAACCTGAGAATTACGATGGCTCGATAAGACATCTCCACAGGCTAGGCTTTACATAGCAGGCGGGGGCTCACGAGTCACACGCGTTGCAGTTCCATAGTAAACGTCGCTTGTGGTATTGCAATGGGGTGTGGCTGCTACGCCAGCCGACAGCTGCGCGTTTTAGGCAGAGCTGCGTGCGCTCAAACTGACCCCACATATATTGGGGCACCTTGACAGGATCCCTCGCGGTCGACGGCCAAAGGTCCGAAGCTCTGCAGAGAGGCGTGCCCGAAGCATCCAAGTGTAGTTCACAGGCCCACGGAGGCCCAGCGCTGCAGCCCAGTCCTGACATTGTCACGTAGTCATGCTCATGCTCATGCTCATGCTCATGCTGCTCCTCCTCCTCCTCCTCCTCCTCCTCCTCATCATCATCGTCATCGTCATCGTCATCGTCATCGTCATCGTCATCATCATCATCATCATCATCATCATCATCATCATCATCATCATCCATGCCTCCCGTATGCTCGCTGCGCCCAGCAACTTCCCTGGCCAACTTGGGAACGGCCCAGCCTGAGCGAGCCTTCAAGAGCGTGCGACCGGTGGATGGCCCCTCGATGCGCGCTTCGAGCGCGGATGCTCGGCGAGAGGGAAAGGGAGGATCCTGCGGCGCCCAAGGAGAAGGGCAGGATCAGACAGCACCGAACTGGCAAATCGGATCGAATCGACGCTCGAATCGAATCGGGCTGCATCGGCACGGAATCGACATCGGGTCGGATCGGCCGCGCCAGGATGCACAACAGCGCCATGCCAGCATCGGACAGCATCGAATCGTCGGAAGATCCGAATCGAATCGGATCGGGCCAGCCTGCCGGAGCTGCCTATCGCACCCGATCAATCGGATCGGAATGGACCCTGAAGGGGGCAGCACGGAGCTGGCCTTGGCACCTCGCAGTCCTGCGGCAGCGGCTCAGCGCAAGTGCACCAGAGGACACCGGGGGCCAGAGGCCGCGGCGCGCGGACCGTCGTGGCGTCGAGAAGTGGGAAGGGGGATGGCGAAGGCCCGCCCGAGCCCGACGACCAGTGTCCGAAAGGGTGGAGATAGGGGACTGCCAAGAGGTGGTGCCATCACCGGGAGCCACAGCAGCTGCAAGAAAGCGCGTAGGCGGCGAAGTCCAGGCTGGCCCGACGACCCCCACCCGCAGGCGGTGATCGGGGTGCTCGAGAAGGTAGGTACAGCTGGTGGAGTCCACCAGTGTCAGCTACACAGGCGAGAATCGGCGACACAAGTCATCCCCTGCAGGCAGCACTGACCAGGCACAAACGGCAAGTCCCTGTCGTGTCGACCCCGGCGTTGGCTCCCGACACCGCGGGGATCGTTCAGCCTTGAACGATCGGCCGTTCCCGAAACGTCAGGATCGCTCCACATCGACCGATTCTGGGCCGCTGGCAGCGTTCGACGTTGAACGCTGGCGGCGGGGTCGCCGCTGGTCGACACGACACGAACCTGCAGTACGTGAAGGGTCCGCAGTCTCATGGGACGGTGCCGGTCCACATGTTCAGCTACAGCGCAAGGCTGGCGCATGCGAGGAAGCTGGCGCAGACCGCACCAGCATCAGGGCGGGCATGTGCTCCTAGAGGCGGAATGGGGAGGAACAGTGAAACAGAGTCGAAGCATACTCGAGGATAGGCAAAAAAAAACAGAAACATCCTCCCCGGACTATTGTTTGCTTGACGATGTTTGAGCATTCCTCCTGTAGAGGGACATGCCCAACTTCATCAAACATCAGCAGGTGGGAGAATTGCTGGGGCCAGTGTCGCCAGCTGCGGCGCCCGCGCCCGCCGCATGCGGCTCCGTCCAAGGGTTCCGCCGCGTGTCGCACGTCGAATCCTATCCTGCCGACTCCTCCTCCACCTCCTCCTCCTCCTTCGCCTCCTCCGCCTCCTCCTCCGCCTCCTCCTCCTCCTCCTCATCCGCCTCCTCCTCCTCCTCCTCCTCCTCCGTCGCCTCCTCCTCCTCCTCCGCCTCCTCCTCCTCCGCCTCCTCCTCCGCCTCCGACTCCTCCTCCTCCTCCGCCTCCTCCTCCTCCGCCTCCTCCGCCTCCACCGCCCTGACCTCCGAAGGCACCCGAGACCTGTCAGAAAGCCTAAGAGACTTTCGGGAGGCGCCAGGGTACACCCTGAAACATCAGGGAACCCGCCGCGAAGCGCTGAACACCTCTGACCGCACTCTTTGCAAAATTACTCTTTCTTTTCCTCCTCCTCCTCCTCCTCCTCCTCCTCCTTCTCCAGATCCTCTTCTCCACTCCGTCCCTCCTCTTCCTCCTCCAGGTCCCTCGAAGCCTTGGGACGCGTCCGTTGGCCCCCCTAAAAGGTACCGAATACATCCCCAAGAGAAACTATATACTCGATCCTCCGCCTCTTCCTCCTCATAAACGTCCTCGCCGATTGCAAACCCAAAAACCGGCCGAACCGACAACGAAACTGAAACCGACCGAAACTAACGTACCGAAGGCAATCACGAAAGACGCACCGAGGCGACAGCCGACCGAACCGAAAGGACTGCGACGCAGCCGACAAAACCGAGTCGAGGACACTGGTGTCCTTCTCCACCGGACCTTTCGAAATCCTTGGGGCGTCTCTAGAAAACACGCCTCGTTCTCCGCCGCCTCCTCCCCCTCACAATCGAAGCCCGCACCTCTCCCAAGCTCTCGGATCAAGACTTCGCGACGAATGCTGTCGTGGCGACGAGGGACTCCCGAGAGGCACAAGACGGGCGACAAAAACGCTGAACCGTCCTCCGCTCCTCAGGCAACGCTCTCACTCTCCCTCCCTTCCTACCCCCCACCATTAGAAGAAGAAACAACTCCGTAACCAGAAACTTTTGGCGCTCCACGCGGATTCCTTGGATCTGCGCTGGACCCCTCTCCCTGGCGAGCGGAGTGCGCCAAGGGCGGCGCCGGAGGCGACGCTGGGGGGCCCAGCGAGGATCCAAGAAATCAGCGCGGAACGCCAAAAGTTTATGTTTATGGCGGTTTTTCTTCTTCGACCCATCCGTCTTCCGCCTGCCTGACTTTCCTCTCCCGACTGCGTCCCTCCCCTCCTCCCCTCCCCTCACTCCCGCCTCCGTCCTTCCTCCTCCTCTCCCTCCCTCCTCCTCCTCCTCCTCCTCCTCCTCCTCCTCCTCCTCCTCCTCCTCCTCCTCCATCTCCTAGCTATGGTAGTGGTGGTGGACGATTGGCCCATCACAGGGGAGCCCCCCTGTGCAGTGGGGCTAGGGTCTTGGGGCCCTCATCGGTCACCGCCTGGGCCAAGCCTCTCTGGCGCCAGGCCTGGTGGCACTTCTGGTCCAGCCGTTTTCCTCATTGGTCCACGACAGAGCTGCCGACGCAGGACAGCAAGAACGGACCTGGCAGCATTGCCGAGGGGCCAAGGGAGGTGGGGGGGGAAGGGGGGCGGGCGGGAGTCGCGCGCAGTAATAGGGGCGACCCTGCAGGGGAGGAGAGGGTAGAGGGGGCGGCCGTGGCGGTCGTGCTGTTGGTCGCGGCAGTGGACGTGGTAGTGGTCGTAGGGCGGTGGCAGTGGTCGTGTCGGCGGTGGTTGGGCAGGCAGTGAGCGTGCTAGTGGTGGTGCTCGTGGGAGTCGTGACCTTGGTCGCTGGCGCCTCTGGTCATGGTCTTGGTCGTCGTGGCAGTCCTGGTTGTTGTCGTTGGCGGCGTGGCGATCTCCCCCCTCCCTCCACCCTCCCTCCCTCCACCCTCCCCTCCCCCTTTCCTCTCTCTGTGAATGTCCATCTTTCGCCCGCAGTCCCTCCCACCCCTCCCTCCGTCTTCCTCCTGGCCCAGCTTTCCCATCCCGCCTGCGTCTTGCGGCGCCAGCGGCGTGTCGGCGGTGGGCGAATCCTCCAGCAGCTCCACCACCACCGGCTCGGCGCCGGCCTGGCTTGTGCTTGAGCTCGTGCTCGAGGGGGGAGAGGGTGAAGGGGCCCAGGGAAACACAAATAAACACACACACAACTCCCAGGATTTCCCGTATTTTCAATGTTTGTTTTGTAATTTTGTATGTGTGTGTGTGTGTTTGTTTGTTGTGTGAGTGTGTTTTCCTCTCCTGAGAGGGGCGAGATCGGCCCATGGGGGGGAGGTCCAGGAAGGTCAGAATAGCACACGGTGTGTAGCCCGGCGGAGAGACCTTTTTTGCACACCTGTGGAAGGTGCCATTCCACAGGCGGCCAGCGACAGAAGCCCACGAGGAGCAGCAGGAGGAGGAGGAGGAGCCCGCGCCACATGGAGGAAGGGAGGAGGAGGAGGAGGAGGAGATGGAGGACGAGGAGGAGGAGGAGGAGGAGGAGGAGGAGGAGGAGGAGGAGGAGGATGGACGAGGCCCTCCTCCTGGTCAAGTGGAGGCGGAAGTGGAGCATGAGTATCCTTTCCTTCCGCCCGCCTCCAGGCGAAGCACTGGCCTGCAGCCACAATGCACCTCACCTCGTGCATTCTCTTTCTAGATCTGTTCGCCTCACTTTTGACCGCAACTTATGCACATGCCACGCTCGTCAATTCGATTGCTCACAGACGCGCCGACCGCTACGACTGGCATCTGGGCAACGAGGCCCTCTTTTCCTCCTCGCAAGGCGGCGGACGCTTCGTGATTCACCATCTGCTGCCCTGTGCGGTGTCAGGTGCAGCAAGCAACTGCTTACGGCGCTTTCCTTGGTCATGCGTGAGGTCACGCACTTGCGATGAATAAAGGAAAATAAGGTTTAGGTCGGGCATGTCCTCCTACAGACGGATTTTGGAGGAAAAATGAAGCATAGTCAAAGCAGAGTCGCAATCATCATAAATAGTAGAAACATCGCCCCCTGATTGGTTTGAAAATGTTGGAAGACTCCTCCTGTATAGAGGGCCATGCCCGTCTTAAACTTAGGTTATGTGAAGCACACCGTGAACGGTGACGGCGGGAGGGAGCGAGGGGAATGAGGTGGCGCGACAACGATGACACGGGAAGACAAAGGCGACAGCGAGCTCGCCGCGGCAATGGGAGGAGCGGGAGGAGGCCGTGAGAAGGGAGGAGAGAGGAGGAGAGGGCCTCCTCCTCCTCCCCCTCCCCCAAGCCCCCCTCTCCTCGTGCTCCGCCTCGTTGTCTCTCTCCACCGCGTCCCCTCTACAGTCACGCTTCTGCCATGCGAAGTGACGCAGAGTAACCAGCGACGCCCCTATGGGGCCCCAAGAGCGCCTGGGTGCAAGAGGAGCGCCAGAATAAGTAGGGTAGCACCCCGCAGATGCGGACAAGAGTGAGGGGGCGGTGGGGACGCCTGCAGTCTGCGAGGCTCTGAAGAAACGCTTACGCCACGGATCCGCACCACGGATCCGCACTTAAGCCGCGCGCCCAGGGACAATGAATGACCGTTCGGCCCCCTCACTCTGACCATGGAAAGGACCTGCGGAAGAAGCGAGCTCCTTCTGAGCTGTTCAAACCTGCGCATGGGCGAGAAGGGGGCGGCGCGGGGGCGGGAGGCGCTGGCACCGCCAGCCGCTCGAGGCAGATCGGTCCCCGGGCACCTCCCTGGCCCCCTCCTGGCCAGCTTGCACTTCATTTCTGATGCCCGACGTTTCCAGACCTGGCCTGCAGGTGCAGACACTCCGGCAACCAAATGTGGGGAGGCCAAGAGGTACCAACACCGCACCCCCGTGGACCTATCCTGGGTTGCGTTCTGACCCTGATTTCGAGGCGAATCCAACGGTGGCGACGAGGGCCTCCGAGGAGGCCCCCAAAGGGGAAAACGGGCGAAGGGTAAGAGGTATGGGTACCTTTTCCTCCTCTGAAAACGAAAACTACCGCGGAAGATCAGAAGATCAAACTTCTTAAACACCAGCGGGGGGGGGGGGCGCAATTTGAAGGATGCTGCATGTAGCCAAGCGGACCCCCACGAGGGCGTTTGATATCCCAGCGTCGACAGGACCGGCAGGGGCAGGGTCTGCGCTTTGATCTGCGATCACCTGCGAGCCTTGACACTGTGGACCCGATTGGAGCCTCGGCATCGACCAGAATCCGTTGGGCTACATCCATCAGATGAGGACCCTCCGCTGGTGTCTCAGAAATCTGTCCCCAAACATGCGACGTCCTGATTTTGTTCAGGACGTCGTCATTGGAAGTCCCGACCCTTTCCCTGGGGCCGGTTTTTCGTCCTGAATCGTTTTTTGACGGTCCCGAGACCCGGAGGGGGACCCCCGAAGCCGAAATTGGCCCAAAACCTCCCGTACTGATTTTCTTAATGACGCGCTCACAGTTGGTGGCCTGCTGGTCGCAGGAAGCATTGCCAAGCACTCTGCTCGGCAATGTGCTAACCCTGGTCAACCAGACCCGGGTCAACAGGAAACCAAAGAACTGAAATGCAGGAACGAACAAACTGCAGCGCAGGGCTTCGCAAACCTGGGTCAGCCAATATGCGCGGCCGCCTCGCGGCCACGAGCGGCTCGCTAACCCGGGTCGGCCAAAGGGGGTCTTCGCCGGATCCTGCAAGATCTGGTGCCCGGCCTGACCCCCGCTTGCATTTAGGGGAACAAACAATGACATAATCATAACAACTGTGAGGTCCGCGCGAATTTCTCGGATCAGCGCTCGACCCCCCTCCTTGGCGCGCGGAGCGCGCCAGGGGCGGCGCCAGAGGCGCCCCCAGGGGGCCCCAACGGGCTCCAAGATCGAGTGCCGGCCCCAGCGCCGATCCGAGAAATCCGCGCGGACCTCCGAGTTTTTTTCTGCTCATGTCATTGCTTGTTCCCCTAGGCATTGACCCCCGTCTCTTACAATCGGGGCGTTGACCCAAGGAACCCTAAATAAGGAACGAGGCCCCTTTCATCCAACTTCGATTTCCCATCGAAAACCTAAGAAAAACGTGGGCAAACTGTGAAACAATTAAGGAACACGGAGCCCCTACTTCCTTCTTCAGGGCCCCGACTGTAAGCTCCGATCTGGCCGAAAGCCGTCGCGGCCGGCCCGGCCGCCCGGCACCGCGGCCTCGCCGGGCGGGGCGGCGCCGCCGGCGTCGGGGGCCTTCTCGTCCAGAGGCGCGCCGCCTGCGGGGCGCCACGGGCGGGCAGAGCCAGCATGCGGCCCGCCCATCTCATGGGCGCTTTGAGGTTCCAGGCACGAGCGAGTCGTAGACACAAAAAATCAGGACGGGAGGTTTTTTTGCGGGTTTTCGGCCTCGGGGGGCACTCGCTGGGCCACCTGGGGAACGCCAAAAAACGATCGGGGTAAAAAACGGCCCCGGGGAAAGGGTCTGGACTTCAGGGGACGCAGTCCTGAAAAAATCAAGACGTCGCATGTCTGGGGCTGGAAGCTGGAAGCCATCGGCTCTTGAAGTAGAAGCGCGCCTACATGTCACAGGGATCTGCAGATAGCGGCACCTAGCCTTTCCCACTGCAACAAGCTAGCACCTTTGCCTTGCATTGGCACTTCCGTGTCACAATTGTTAGAAGCACCAGCGCAAAGAAGTCTAACATCTGACCTCAGGCTTTCAGCAGGCACCAAGTAAATCACTGTCGAAAACCTTTCCCCTCGCCCACCTCCGTCACGCCAGCACTACTCGAAAGAGTGCCTGGGTCAAAACTGCGAGCAGCCTGTAACTCACTCACTCGGGATGGTTTCCCCGTGTTTCCCTACGCAACGTGTCTGCAACATTTCTACAATAGGGCCTGGCGGGGCCCGGCCCTGCTGGACGCACTCGTGCCTTCGCTGCACCACTCCTCCTTCGATTCCATCCTCCTTCTCACTAGCAGTCCTCCGTCCCCCCGTCCCCCCCGAGGGGGAACGATATGAGGAACCGGCCTAGGAGGGGGAAACACGGAGCTGGAATCGGTGACACATTGCCAGTAAAGCCTCGATTGCATCACGGCACGTTTTCCTGGGCGGGGCCTGCTACCAGGCCCCCATCGGCAATGACTGAGCCATTGGGGGTCGATGCTTCCCCCACCCTCGAGCCTCTCGTCCCTGAGATGCGCCTGATCTGGAAGAAGAAAAAACGGTATCCGCTGGCCCCCTTTCGGGTCGGGCGAAAGGGGGGGATAGCAAAGGGGGGGGGGAAAATCAGCTCACGTAGCTGATTTTCCCGGCGCCTCCCGGCGCCAGAGGCGGCTATGTATCGAGGAATGGGCCCCTCGGTGAGGCCGAAACCAGCTGCATGCAGCAAATTTCGTAACCCCCCCTTTCCCAATCCCCGCGTTTCGCCCGGCCCGACCCTTGTGGGGCCACCAGGCTGTAGGCTGGAGGCTCGCAGTTTCCTGTGCCAGTTGCAGCTTCCAGTTTCCACTGTCACAGTTGCTTGCTGTTCCTTGTTGCCTTCTTGCTGCTTGCTGTTCCTTGTTGATGGACCGCGCGAGGGGGGGAGGCCCAAAACGTGCATTTCTACCACGCCCAAATCCTATTGTCTGAAATGCTGGGGTGGGTAAACATTGACACCCCTCACGCAGATCGGCGGGGTCAGGGTCCAAAAACACACGGGATTTGCCACATTTCTGAACTTCGGTGGCACCCCCGCAGATCGGCGGGGTCAGGATCCAAAAACATAAAGGACGCCACATTTCTGAAATTCGGTGGCACCCCTCACGCAGATCGGCGGGGTCAGGATTCAAAAACACACGGGATTTGCCGCATTTCTAAAATTCGGTGGCGCCCCTCACGCAGATCAGCTTGGTCAGGGTCCAAAAACACAAACGATTTGCCACTTGGTAGCACCCCTCACGCAGATCAGCGGGGATTTGCGACATTTCTGAAATTCGGCGGCACCCCTCACGCAGATCGGCGAGGTCAGGGTCCAAAAACACATGGGATTTGCTACATTTCTGAAATTTGGCGGCACCCCTCACGCAGATCGGCGGGGTCAGGGTGCAAAAACACATGCTATTTGCTACATTTCTGAAATTCGGTGGCACCCCTCACACAGATCGGCGGGGTCAGGTTCCAAAAACAAGAAGGATGTGTCACATTTCTGAAATTCGGTGGCACCCCTCACACGGATCGGCGGGGTCAGGATCCAAAAACACAGGGGATGTGCCACATTTTTGAAATTCGGCGGCACCCCTCACGCAGATCGGCAGGGTCAGGGTCCAAAAACACATGGGATGTGCCACATGTCTGAAATTCGGCGGCGCCCCTCTCACAGATCGGCAGGGTCAGGGTCCAAAAACACGTGGGATTTGTTACATTTCTGAAATTCGGCGGCACCCCTCACGCAGATCCGTAGGGTCAGGGTCCAAAAACACAAGGGATTGGACACATTTCTGAAATTCGGCGGCACCCCTCACGCAGATCCGTAGGGTCAGGGTCGAAAAAAACACACAGGTCCCGACACTGCTTCACGGCGAAGCCAAAGCCTCATGACTTGGCTCTTCCATGGCGCATTCTCCGAGAGAGGGGGCCGGCGGCAGGGGGCGAAGCCCGCGCGGATTCCGTGGATCTCCGCTGGACCCCACTCCCTGGCGCGCGGAGCGCGCCAGGGGCGGCGCCAGAAGAACGGCAGGGGGGGACCCGGAGCGGATCCACGAAACCCGCGTGGAGCGCCAACAGGTTATGTTTTTTATGGCGGCCGCTCTTCTTCGATGAAACCCCCACCACTTTCAAAGGCCCGTGCAGACTCTGTCAGATCTGCGCTGCATCCCCAGGAGGAGGAGGAGAAGGGGGAGGGGGAGGGGGAGGGGGAGGAGGAGGGGGAGGGGGAGGAGGAGGAGGAGGAGGAGGAGGAGGAGGAGGAGGAGGAGGAGGAGGAGGAGGAGGAGGAGGAGGAGGAGGAGTATTTATTATTATTATTATTATTATTATTATTTTTACTCCGCGGCCCGCAGCCTCCCTCCGCCGCAGCACCGAAACCCTGAGGAGGAGCAAGACGAGGGGAAGGAAAGGAGGGGAGGACGGGCGGCCGCACTCATGCGGCAGCCACCTGGGGTCTCAAGAGGAGCCACCCCCAGGAATAAACGCGCCTCGACGATGCAGACGAGCATGTCGAAGCAGTCCTCGAAAGAAAAGGCGCCCGCAGGCGCACTCCCCTGGGGTCTCGAGAGGAGCCACCCCCAGGAATAACAGCGCCTCGAAGACGTCGAGCGAAGCCACAGGCGACATCAAACGCCATGACGAGGCAGCTGTAGGACTTATACCATGATACACATAGGCGCCCAGGAGACCAGAAGGCCTCGAAAAGAAATGAAATGTCAGCACGACGAAGTTAGGTGCCGATCTGCTCGGGCTGCTTGCTGCAAAACGCCACACGCCCCTTCGGGAGAATGCCGCGGGCCAGCTTGCCCAAGTTCTGATGTCCGTAGTGGCCCAGCTGACCAGAACACTCTGTCGCCAAGCCGCGAAGGAAATGCTTGCCAACACACCCACAGCGCAAACAGGCATGGATCTGCAGGCCCTTGAAATAACCCAAGAGGTGGGACTCATGAATCGGAACTCCTTGGACGTGAACTCCAACATCACCCACTCTCTGAATGTGGCCCTTGAGAACTCCTCCCAAGCAGGGCGTCTCCAAGAACCTTTCAAGCTTGCGACCACTCGCGCTGCAACCACAAGCCGAACAATGAAAGGATGTGCCCATGCCTGTGAAGACCTGGTGCTCGGACAACTTGACACGACGACTGAACTTTTTCGCCATGGACCTCGTCGGACGGAAACGTTTGGGCTCCGCCTCCGCCGCAGCCAGAAAAGCCTTGGCCAAGTGTTTGCGGACAGCACGACCGATTGCTTCCGCATGCTCCAAGGACTCCGCTACCGAGCTAGGAACAGACACCACCTTTGCCCAATACCCAGCCGCTTCATCAGCTAAGGCGTTAGCTAGGTAGTGTTCGATCTGCGTCCCAGCTTGGATGGCCAACTCGACCGACATGTGGCTCTCGATCTTGACGACGCTGAGCAAGGACGGGTACTGTGCCACCACGTCCTTGACCTGCAGCCAAAGGTCCAAGTTCGTAGTCGGAAGCCGCCCTTGCGAAAGTTTGCGGAGCCCCTTGACCACGTACCCCGAGTCCGTGACGAAAGTGATGGGGACCCCTAAGTCGAGCAGATCTTCAGCAGCCCTAAGCAAGGCCGTCGTCTCACCACGGTTGATGGTCTGCTTCTTGGGGATGCCGCCGCCTCGGGAGAACAACAGCTGGACGTCTAGGTCGGTGTCGGTGGTCACCTTGATAACTTGATATGACCAGCCAATCCGCCGCAACCTAGCATCTGCTGAATGAAGCCCCCCGGACGCATCACCACCAACCAAGAGATGATCGTGCTTCTTGAGATCTTCCTTATGGCCGATGACCTCATCATACGGGTTGTCTGTCGGCTCGTCCACCTTGGTCCAAGGAGCAGGCAATCTGCCCCTCAACCAAAGGCAGGGAAGGTTTTCGTAATCTTGGTGAGCCCTGTTACGCAAGTTCGCAGAAACCGACGAGAACAACCCGTTGCAAGAACATGGCCAACTACGATGCAAATCGGTCTCGTCCAATCCACACTTGCAACGCTGACAGTCGGTGGTGTCCAAATTGCTGCTGCTCAGGGTCGAGATCCTGCTGCGTGTCCACGAAGCTCCCGTCATGACAGTCTCGATAGCGCCTGCCATCTCGTGCTCGCCCTTCTTCTTCAAAGCTGTGAGGTGACGTCGAGCTTCACGAACGTCAGCTCCCTCTTCTAGACCTTTGCCATTCCAATGCCGCGAAGCCTTATCCCAAAGCATACGGTCGATCGTATCAGAGATGGCATCTTTGAGGGCACTCATATCTTGGGGACCTTGACCGATGATATGGTCTGGGGCCATAAACCTTTCGCCAAGATCGGAAATCCATGCCCAGGGCCCCACTGGATCCCAACCGATGTCTAAGAGCGTGGCTATAGTTGCAGATACCACTCCAGTGATGCCTCTCCATCTGTCCTTCTGAGCCCTGCTGTCAATTCGCCTTCGTGCCGTCCTCCATGTGCGACGTGCCAACTCTAGACCGAAGCCTGGTTTGAAGATAATGGACATCCAAGATTCCACCAGCCTGTGCACGATCTGGTACTGAGGGTCCTTGCGGCCGACACGAAGTTGTAACAGAGTGGTGAGGCAACGACCTGGCCATTTCTTTGCCAGAGTCTGTCCCAGAGCTTTCCTCCACCCGTTGATGACCGACGGAGCCGCTCCAAAGACTTTGTCAGAGTAATCAGCCATCGGAAGAACTCCCATCATGGCCAGCTTTGCGCCGATCTTCTTACGAACAGCCCCTTGAGCAAACCGCTTGACGCGAGTGAAACGCTGCTGAGCACCTCTTCGCCGCTGTGCCTGCTTCGGACGCCGAAAACCAACCGCACCTCGATCGATGCCCAAGTCGGTGGCGACACTCTCGATCTTGACCTCGAAGCCCTCCTTGGCGAAGCCTCGTTTTAATTCCTTGCCTAGCCCAGCATTGTTGGTGACGATCGTCGACTTTGCCGATATCACCAAACCGGCCTCAGAGCAACCTTTTGCAAAAGTCAAGCCGGCTTGCAAAGCTAATCCAAGAACTCTTTTGCATCGGCCTTCCACTCTTTGAGAAACATCATCCACCCAAGACCTGACCGTAACACCAGGAGACCCCTGCGCCACTCTGTCCAAGATATTGTACAAAGAACAGCGAGAGAAATCCACTGCGCCGCCAAGTCCAGCAATCATGCTCTGCTCGGGTACGATGGCATCAGAGTAATAACCACTGTCACGGAGGAAACGCACCCCCATGTGTAAAATCATCTCCAAAGCCAAGATGCACGGTGGAAATTCGTGCTCCATACCCGTCTCCAGTAAGAGCTGCCATTTAAGAGCGTCATAAAACCCCTCAATGTCCCACAGCACGCTGGCCTGCACCCAATCCTTAATCGTGGTGAGCGCGACCGTCTCGTCCAGGTAACTGCGAGCTAAGGCCTCACGCAAGGCTGAGGAACCTGCCACTGCTGCATCCCAATGCCCAGCCTTTGCCTTAGTCCAGCTGACACGGTACTCGCCTCGACAACTCGACCAGAGCCTCGCCAAGGTCGATAATATACCAATGGCCCTGTCGTCACCGCTCGGCTTGCGTAGGAGAGTGACCAGAACCACCGTAAGTTGCCAAGGCCATGCCACTGACTGCTCGATAAGTTGAAAAAGCTGGACCAGCTCCTGCTTACCTTGCTCGGGCAGCCAGATGAGGTCCTTCTTCCCCAACTGCTCAATGCCCTTCGCCGAAGTGCCCTTCATCCTTCGGATACCGTCTTCCAGCGCCTCCAAGTCGAAGAGAGGGAAAGCATCTTCACGAGCACGAGCCCTAGCACGTCCCAAGAGTAAGGAGACCTGGCCGATGTCCAGCTGCTGGTCGCTCCACCTCTTCTTCCACACCTTAGCCCGAATACCCATCGCCGTGAGGGGGTCCGACGATATCACCTGGCCTTCCTCGAACTCGTCCTTCGAAGTGGCCTTGTCCTTGATCAGTCTAAACAGCTTCCCAGGTGCCGCCACGTACTGCTCCTCCGCCCATTGAGAGAAAGCCAGATACTGGGAATAACATTCCATCCGCTGCAAGCTGGCCGCAATCTTGCTGCTCTCGTCCTTGTAGCGCCTGATGGTGTCGTTCGTGGCGGTGCTGAGCTGCCGCAGCTTCCTGCACCAAGCTGTTTTCTCCTTGCGAGGGAGAGAGGCCAGGGTCGAAGAAGGAACCCAAGCCGTGGCCTCCCTGAGCCTGGTAATGATCTTCCCAAACCGTGGCGATTCTCGCTTGGAACTGGCCCTGTCCAGCTCCTCCATCAAGAAAGCTATCTTGGCCCACCAGTCCACTCCAGGATCCCGTGTACGCGTAAACGGAGGGGACGGCACCACTTTATGGACCCTGGTAAGCCGAGCAAGACCTCGGCCTCGATGAGCCTTGCTGTCTTTGTCCAGACCCGCACCGTCGAGCAGGTGGCTGAAGAACTCTTCCACCTTGCCAACCCACTCACCGAAGGCAATGCCCAACTTGCCAGCACTATCAGAAGTGAACCGCCATGCGTGGGAGTCCGTGACATACGACGGCGGTTTCGACCAGCGATGATCCTGAGGTATGCTGATGGACGACCAAAGATCGGCACGCTGATCAACTGACCACTTGTCGCCTAAGCCAGCTTCACCCCCAGGAGGGACCAGGCCTTCATCTTGATCCTCTGGTTCGGCAGGTAGAGGCTCGTCGTCGTCGGGCTCGCCCTCATCGCTCTCTGACTCCTCCCCAAGATCCATAGGACCCAAGAAATTGAATGGAGGAGGAGATTTGATACCAAGCCGCCGTCTATCCCCAAGCTTGGCGATCTTCGGTCTCGCTGACGTTGGAGTAGCCACCACCGCCAACTTTCTCGAGCGCTTGCTGTTTGGATCCGCCTGCTTCTTGGGCTGAGGCGGAGGGCCAAAAGCCTTGGATAAGCTGAGAGTTCGTCCCTCAGCTGGCTTGGCATTCAGAAGTAGACCCAAGACAATACCGTAATGTGCTTTGCCGCCTTCGCCCACTAAGTCAGTGTCGGCGCGAATGCGGTCCAGGTACTCCAGGGCAGGCCCTGAGGCCACAACATAGTCTATGAGCGTGCCCTGCCCTCCAGTGTACGTGTAGTCCACGTTGTCTGCCACCAGGATATTGCCTTGGACCAGATTGAGCCACCCGGCCTTGCGAAGGGTATCTGGAGGGAAGTTCCAGTCGCATAAGATAACCCAAGGTGTCGATAAAGAAGAAACGAGTGAGGCCAAATGCCTGAGTTTCTCCACGTTGGCGCCCGTGATGCCCAACCCATTGTAGAGGCAGCCTCCGATTATCGTGAGATGTGCACCTTTCAAGAGCACCTGCATCCCGACCAAATCCTTAAAACGAACTCCAGTGGTAAGAGCCGCCACGTCCTTCTTGCCTTTATCTGCTCGCTTACCAGGTAGCTCGTCCTTGTTGGAGGCCAAGTGTCTGAGTGACCAAGAAGACCATTTCTTTGAGACTCCCATCGCGACACCACCAGCTTTCTTCGTGAAGATAGCAGACTCAGCACCCGCTGGGCACACCATACTTTTGTAGCCAGCTTTATCAAACTCCACCAAGACGTCATTGGTTTCGTCCATGTCCATGTGGGTCTCCTGGATGATGACCGCGTCGTGGGACCGCTTCAACAGCGCCTTAGCCGAGGTACCCCAGGTCGACATGTTGCGCATGTACACCCAAAACTGTGCACCAGCATCTTTGTCAGCCTTCGCCTCCTTCTCGGTAACCTGAGTGACCCCCATAGCTTGTATGACCCAGTCCCAGAAGATGCACATTCGATCCTGAGCCTGATCGTCCTCCATGTCGTCGTCATCGCGGTCAGGAAGGTGACGATCTGGAGGAACTCGATTCCCGAGAAGGCGTCGAAACCGTCGGCGCAGCTCACTAAGGTCGTCGAAATGCCATCGCAAGAATCTCCAGTAGTGCCTAGGGGTCCTGATGGAGTTGAGCGCGTTGAAAAATAGAGCCCTGTGCGGCTCCGCTGTGACCCAAGAGCGCGTGCATAAGTGTTCTGCGATGTCCTGCAACGACATGCGGTAGTAATTCTCCAGGTTCTGACGGAGGCCGCGCTTAGACCGACGTGAGAGCGATGCAATAAAGTACGGAACACACCACTCCTTCCAATGCTCCAAAGAATTGCAGCGCTCGCCTCTGATGTCGTGGACCCACCTGGCCGCAGATGCAGTCATTTCATACCTAAGGTCTCGTCGCTCTCTGGCTCGATCCACTCGAGGGGGTTGAGGAGGTCGTGGCCGTCGACCTCGAAGTTCAGAGCCTAAGTCAACGTAGAGCTCCCAGGTAACCTTCCAACCACTTACCTCAATCGTGCCCTCGATGAGAAGGAGACTGCCGTGCTTCGCGAACAGAGACCTTTCCTTGCCAACCGAAATCGGTGGCCAGTTTCCAACACGAGCCAGCCCAGCAAGTGGCAACGACGAACCTGGGTGTCCAGGATTTTGCGATCTGACACCATGTCCAGAGAAGGACAGAAGAGGTGGCGACATTGAACCTGGCGAACCAGGATTTTGCGAGCTAGCACCTCGATTTCCCCCCCGGCTTGGAACATGACGACGTCGTACCTGGGTGTCCAGGATTTTGCATTCTGACGCCCGCCTGGAAAGAATCTGCCTGTGCCGTCGACTGAGAGAGCAAGGTGCCGTGGTCGAAATGGTGAATTGCCTCAAGGTGCTGCAGTGGCTCAAGCTGGTCTGTCCAGGAATCTTGAAAATTGACGCTGTCAAAAGTACGAAATAACTTCGAACCATGCCAGTGCCAAGCAGGGGTCTCAAGTGGAGCCACCCCCTGCGAATAGAGACTGTTGAGACTGCTGTTCCCATCCATCGAAACAGGGGTCTCGAAAGGAGCCACCCCCTGCATCCCACTATCTTGGTAATTGAAATAGCTACCACCAGAGAGCCCAAGAGGGGCTGCCAATTGAGAAGCACGATCGTCCCAGATGAAACAGGCCTGGTCCTCCCAGATCGTGCCAAGGGTCCCGAGAGGGGCCACCCCTTGGTAAGTATGCTCCCCCAGCGTGCTGTAGAACGTCTCTGGCAAGAACTTGCCAGGGGTCCCGAAAGGGGCCACCCCCTGGTTTGCAGTCTCATCCGTGGAGCTGTAGACCGTGGCCTCCCAGTCCGTGCCAAGGGTCCCGAAAGGGGCCACCCCTTGGTATGCAAGCTTATCTGTGGAGCAGTAGATCGTGTCGTTACCGTCCGTGCCAAGGGTCCCAGGAGGGGCCACCCCTTGGTATGCTAGTAAGCTGCCGTCGCCCTGGCCGACGTTCGTGACAGGGGTCTCGAAAGGAGCCACCCCCTGCAATAAACTCGTGCCGCCGAAGTCCAGGCCAGGGGTCCCAAGAGGGGCCACCCCCTGGAATAGCCTCCTGGATGTCCAAGTTGCTGCCGTACTTGTAGTAGATCTGCCCAACGTGCCCTCTTCACTGGCCTCCCCCTGTGCTGCTACCTGCCCAGGACGGGGCGGGAGCCAGGGATCGGCCGAGGGTGGGCTGCTAAACTGTCGACTGCTTGCCAACTGCATCTGCCCTCTTCCTGGCCAACGCCTCGTCCATGATGGTGCGGAGCTCTGTCTGCTTGCCGTCGACCAAAGGAGAGACACTCGCCCAGGGAGATTTGCCAGCCGCCGCTGTCTGTGTCGGTGCCGTAGGTGTGGAGGGAGTGGCCCCCACCGCAGGGCCTGCGGCTGAAGCAGCCGCCGTAGCCGCAGCGCCACCTGCTTCAGCTGGTCCTCCTTCGCCAGGCTTGGCCGCCGAAGCAGGCGGGCACGAACTGGACTTGCGCTTCTTGGCCTGGTGCCAAGATCCGATCTCCTCCACCTTCTTCTGCTGCTGCGAGGCCAAATTCTCCACCACCTTGCGGAACTGCGAGTCCAAAGCCGCACGGAACTCCGCCTCGAAGGTGCTCTTGCGCCGCTCGAACTCCTCGCGATCGCTATCCTCAAGGTCCACGTCATCGAAGAGCCCCCCGAAGCTGAGGTTGAGCTCCGCCTTCTGGTCCAAGAACTGACGGACGTCCAACTTCCCCAACTCAGATGGAGACGAAGGCGGCTCAGGCGCCAGCTCTTTGGCCACGAGCTCCTGCGCCACAATAGCATCTGCCAAGTTGCTCGCACAATCTCGGTAGAGTCCCATGGCTTCTCCCAGCTCTTGCTCGAGACGGAGGACACGCTTCGCCACCTTGTCCATGCTGGCCTCGGCCCGCTCGACCTTCTGCGTCGCCTCCGAGAGCCTGATAGATGCGGGCTTCGGTGGTGCAGCAGCGGGGACTTGATTGACCAAGGTATCACGGAGTAGCTTTGCCTGCTCAGCTGCTGCACCTCCCTTGGCGATGATGCGCTCCAGGGCCGCCGTGTCCCGGTCCGAAGTCCCAGAGCCGTGAGCTGCATCTGCTGGTTGCGGTGCTCCACCTCCTGTTCCTGTGGGCTTACGTCCTTTGAGGAAACAGCCGCAGTACTGGCAGGTGTAGTCGAATTTCTCCAACAAGTCATTGTAGCAGAACTTCCCACAGACTTTGCACCAGGTCGCATCCCGTCCAAGCTTGGGAAGAGCAATGCGCTGCGAAATGTTCTGTCGAAGATCCGCTCGAGGGGTCGCTGGTCGCCAAGGCTGCATCGTGAAGTTGCCGTATGCGTTCGAGCTACCATTCCCAAGACTGGGCCACTGGTCGCTGAGAGACATACTTGCGCCTGCCGAGGTCGAAGACTGATACCACGGCGCTCTGCTCTGCCAAGACTTGTACTGCTGACGCCCTCCTTTCCCCATGAAGCAAGAATATGTAGTAGGAAACCTGTGGTGATCAGGCTCCTGAAAGCAATTGAAGACTGGCTGCGGACTAGCAGCTTCCGAGTTGGCACGGAGGCGCGGAGCCCCCTGAGTGCAGTCATCTTGAGCCAAAATGGCTACGGAGGAGGAGGAGGAGGAGGAGGAGGAGGAGCCCCCCCCCCTGGCGCGCCGAGAGCGCGCCAGGGGCGCCGGCGAGGCCCGGCGCCGCTCCAGGAGCTTCAAGGCGGAGCTCCAGAGCCCATGCTTGCGTGGGCCTCCTCCTCCTCCTCCTCCTCCTCTCCTCCCTCCTCCTCCTCCCCCTCCTCCCCTCCTTTCCTCCTTCTCCTCCTCCTCCCCCTCCTCCACCTCCCTCCTCCTCCTCCTCCTCATCCTCCTCCGCCTCCCTCCTCCCCCTCCTCCTCCTCCTCGCATCCGCATCCGTGCACACTGCCACCCACTGCTCACGCGCTGCGGCCGGCGCGCGGCTTCTGGACTTCGGCCCTCCTCATCCTCCCCACGGAGCCTTCACGGGTTTCACGGGTGGGCTGCGCACGACATGGGTTCACGGAGAGAATGGGTAAGATGCTCGACAGCGAGTGTTGTCCCACACCGACAGCGGGCACTGTTGGGTAGGCAGCATTTTTGCCTTCAGTGGACACAGGCCGCAGCGATGGCGACAGCAAGTCCCGTTCAAGATGAACAGGAATTACTGTTGGTCTCTGTGCCCATTCTTTCGGTACCCATTGAGCATCGTCTAACTGATCCCTATCCCCACCGGTGTGGCCTGGGCCCCACTGGCCGACTTGCCCCCCCAGATGGGGATATAGGCTGCTCCCTTTGGGCTTCGAGGGGCACATCCCAAACTGAGGTGGTGAGGTGGCGGGGCTTGGGATGGGGAGGGGGATGGGGGTGGGGAATGTTTAAACGATATGACCCAGACATGAGACGCCCTGTCTTTTTCAGGACGGCGTCACCACAGAAGTCCCGACCCTCTCCCAGGGGCCGGAGATTCTCGTCCCGAGTCATTTGTTGATCCGCTCCCGAGGCCCGGCGAGGGCCCCCCGAGGCCGCAAGTGGCCAAAAACCTCCCGTCCTGATTTGTTATACGACGCGCGCGTCGTACGCGAGCATGTCTCGTACGCGTACGCGAGCATGTCTGGGGACCGAGTTCGATCCCCCCGATCCGTGTGAGAGGCGGCCCCACGGCCCACGAGAGGAGCTCCTCCCCGCGGAGCCTCCCCGCGCGGGCTGCGCCACGGCAGGCTGCGCCGGGGGGTCGGGCTGCGCGGCGGCGGGCTCCGCCGGGGCGGCGGGCTCCGCCTCGGGCGCTGCTTCATGAGGGGAGGAGGAGGAGGAGGAGGAGGAGGAGGAGGAGGAGGAGGAGAAGGAGGAGGAGGAGGAGGAGGAGGAGGAGGAGAAAGAGGAGAAAGAGTGCCGAAAGGGTGCGCCTTTCGTGCAACCTAGGGGGCCCTAAGGGCCCCCCCCCACCCCTGGGGCCCAAAGGGCGTGCCACAGGGGCACGAGAGAGGTGCAAGCCGGGGAAACCACGCAGGTAAGGTAAAGTACCGCTGCTCCCTGGGACTCTCCTTGGGTGGGTCCTGACCAGTGTCCGGCCGTGTCGCCGAGGACCTTCTCCCAGGAGGCCTTGCAGAGGGGAGAACGAGAAAAGGATATTGGTATCGATGCTTGTCTCGTCTCTCGCGAATGCCTTCCCAGACATGCGACGTCCTGATTTTTTCAGGACGGCGTCTCTGGAAATCCCGACCCTTTCCCCGGGGCCCGTTTTTCGTCCTGATTCGTTTTTTGACGCTCCCGAGGCCCAGCGAGGGCCCCCCGAGGCCGAAAATAGGCAAAAAAACCTCCCGTCCTGACTTTTTCACGACGCGAGCATGTCTGGGTTTCGCCCCCCACATAGACCGCCCCCTCCCTTTCGCAACGCCCAGCCGCTGTGGCGGCGGGTTCCGCTGGGGCGGCGGGCTCCACGGGGACCGCGGGCTGCGCGGGCGCCGTCCGCGGAGCCTGGCGTGGGACAGGCGGCAAGCACTGGCACCACCGCCATGAGCATCGCTTCCTCGATCGGAGGAGGGAGATGCGAAGGAGGGGGAGGAGGAGGAGGAGGAGGAGGAGGAGGAGGAGGAGGAGGAGGAGGAGGAGGAGGAGGAGGAGAGGAGGAGGAGGAGGAGGAGGAGGCGGAGGAGGAGAGGAGGAGGAGGAGAGAGATGGCAGGAGAAGGAGGAGGGAGGAGGAGAGGCAGGAGGAGGGAGGAGGAGGAGGAAGAGTAGGAGGATAAGGAGTAGGAGAAGGAGGAGGCGGAGGAGGAGGCAGAGGAGGAGGAGGAGGAGGAGGAGGAGGAGGAGGAGGAGGAGCAGGAGGAGGAGCAGGAGGAGGAGGAGGAGGAGGAGCAGGCCCCCCCTGGCGTGGTCTAGGCCCCAGTGCCCGATCTACCCCCCAGTAGATGGGGGTATCGGCTGCTGCCCTCGGGTTTCGGAGGGCCCACCCCCAACTGGGGTCCCCCACTGGGATGGTGGGGCTGAGATGCCATGGCCCGGTGGGAATAGGGACGGGTTGAACGACACTGACGGACTGAGGGAAAACTGCACGGAGGTAACTAGGCGGCACGCCCGGGCGGGGAAGTGAGATGGATGATGCCTTCTCTTCTCAGCAAGCGGCGGGGCTTCTCAGACGCCTTCCGGCCTTCTGTGAGGTGTCCCGTGCCTTCGGGGAAGGCTTCGACCACAATGTGTGTTGTATAAAATACAATGAGTTTTTCGGGCCTCCACCTCTCACCCCTTCCCCCTCCCCGACATTCCCTATGGACATTGGGGGGGGGCGGGGAGCAGCTGAAGCGCCGTCTGTATAACGTGTTATGCATGTGTTCTCCGTCTCAAGTTCTTTGTGGGCTCAAGCGTTCATGCCTATTTCGCTTGAGCTGGATTCAGTCGGCTCGACATCTCCTTCCCGCGCGGGCAGCGCGATATCTTCTGCTGGCTCGCCGTGGGAGCTGGTGGGCTCGGAGTGCGAGGAGCTCCCGGTCTTTCTTGCTGGGCAGGCGCTGAGCCTGCCAGAAGGCGGGGGTCGAATCCTCGCGACGGCGCGCTGCGGCGGGCCGCTCCTGGTGTTCCTCTGGACGCTCGTGACGGTGGTCCGGGACCCGCCGAGCCCCGAGGAGGAGCCGCTGGAGGGTGAGGAGTTCACGCCTGAGCGGGTGATGCCAGTGGAGGTATGGAGCAGGCGCTACTATCGCCGGAGCGCGACGGATGGCGTGGAGATCTTCCTTGTGCGACGGAAGACAGGAAATTGCTGGGCAGCCCTGTTGCCCGACCTATCAATGGGGACCATCACGATCACTGCGAAGACGACGGTCTTCGCCGACCCAGTGCCAGGCATCCGCTGGCAGGCTCTCCCAGCACTCAGCCAGGTGCAGAAGGACAGCTTCATGCAGCAGGCCACGGACGGGCTGCGAGCAGGGACCATTCCACCTTTGGACTTGTACCGACCGGGGCGTCAGGCTCAGCAGGCCGTCGCCGTCAACGTGGTCTATGCCGTGGCCAGTTCTGCGCGCTCTTCGCTGCGTACGGTGCGGTGGGCGCTGCGCTCGCCGTATCGGTTGCTGGGTTTGCTGGCGCTGGGCTTCGTGCTGTTCGAGGCTCTGAAGTACCTGGGGGTGGTGGACATGATCGTGGAGACCTGGCTCGCTTTCGTGAGTTGGATCGTGACCTGCAGGGACACGCTCATCGAGTCGTCCGAGACAATCCAGGAGTGGGTGTCTTACGGTGGCGAGTGGCTGGAGTGGGCTCGAAAGCTCATGCCGCTGCGGCGCTGGGCGGCCTTGCTGCTGGCCCTCATCCTGCTCATGATCTGGGGAGCTCACGAGATGCAGGAGGCGGAGGAGGCAGGTCATTCATCAGTGGCCTCGTCCTCTGCATCGTCGGTGGTCGGAGACGTGGGAGGAGCCGCGGCCGTGGCGCCTCCGCTGCCGCCGCCGGTCGCGGCTTCGCCGCCCGCGGCGGCTCCGCCCGACGCCGCGCTCGTGGCCCAGTTGGACGACTTGGCCGAGTCCCAGAGAGCGATGGCGGCGGAGCTGAACGAGATCAGGATCGCCGAACGTGCGCGGGAGCTGAGGCGCTCGGCCATGGTGTCGTCGAGCGTAGACCGCGGTGCCGAGGCGGCGGCTGCCAACCAGCTGCAGATCCAGTCCATGCTGAGTCGCCTCGACGAGTTCGAGGCTCGCTTGCAGGGAGGTGCGGCGGCGGGGTCCCCTGCGGCAGCCGCGGCACCCTCTCCTGCCACCCCCGCGGGCGCGGCGGAGGGTCCCACCTCGCCTGCGCGCGCGGACTCGACGGTGCTGATGGAGACTCCGGACAAGCGTGCGGCCTCGGAGCCGGCCGAGGCGGTGTCCCTGGCCATCAAGCGGATGAGGTTCAAGGCTCAGATGCCGCAGCAGGTCTTCTTGGAGCAGCTGGAGGACTTCAAGGAGTACCCAGCGTCAGAGTGGGCGACCAAGATGCCCGAGGGCTACAGAGAGAGGATCGCCCCGGACGTGCTCTCGGAGGTCTACTCGACGGGGAAGACGGCGGAGGCCTGGGCGAGGGACTACATCCGGGACCGGGGCCTCACCGACTGCAACACCGCTCGGGAGATGATCGCGACCTTCGCGGCCGTGGACACCATGCTCATGACGGACCGCCAGAAGGGGCTCTTGAATCAGGTGAGCTTCGAGAGGCTGGTGCGAAAGGGTTACGCGCTGGTGAGGGCCTACCGCAACGTGCACTGCCGCGACGATTGGAGCAGGCCCAAGGACTCCAAGAGCTGGAAGTCCAAGGTCGACTGGGAGGCGGCGCGGCGCTTGGACCCGCAGCTGGCGGACGAGAGCACGATCAGGGTCATGAGTGCGGAGGAGGAGGTGAAGAAGGCCATGGGTCGGGACGCGCAGTTGATCAAGGCGCGCACGGACCTGGACGGCGGGGGTGCGAGCCCGCCGTGAGCCCCAGAGAACGCCATACGGGGCTGACTGGCGAAGGTCCGCCAGGAGCCCCTGCACGCGAGCGGCCCCGTCTCCGTGGCCGGTCAAGTTTTCTCTTCTACTTCTTGTTTTCGAGTCTGTGGGACTTCGGCAAGAGCGTCGGGTTCCAGCAGGTGATCTACTGCACGACGAATTGGGCTATTCATGTCGAGGAGGCGGGACATCCTGTCGGAGGTGGTGCTCATTCCACGACCGGAGAGGCCAACGTCGAGCTCACGGCGGGTGCTCTCACGCTGGCGGGAGGAGTTGGACATCGTGCAGCGGGCCAATCGGTGCTTGCTGGGACTTCGCCAGCTCTACCGTGGGACGTTTGGCGACGAGCTCTTGCATCCTGGGGAGATCTGGGGTCAGGGGCCACTGCCCAGCACCATGGACGGGGACCTCTCGAGGCGTGTGCTGGAGGAGGTACGTCGCCTACCACCGCCCCCCTCGACGCCCGAGCGAGGAGCCGCGATCCTGCGGCTGCGTCCCGCCGCTACGGCGGCGGAGAACCAATCCCGGTCGACCTATACCCAACGGTTGGCCGAGTTGCGGAGGAGGTGTGCTGGTGGACAGGTACGACTGCCAGACCGGGGCGAAACGTTTCCCGCCCATTGGGAGCGGGTCGCTCTTCCCCCTCCGGGCTCAATGCCGGTGAGCGCGAGGTCTGTGTCGCCGAGAGTGGCTCAGATGCTGGACGATTTCCGGAGGGAGATGCTGAAGGAGGACGGCGAGGAGTGCGTCAGGGCCGCGGAGGTGAAGAACTACGTGGACCCGCACTTCCGCCGAAAGAAGGACATGCTGATGCTGGCCAGGCGCATGGCTCTGGCCGGGATGTTGTGCCGCTGCGAGTCGAAGGTGGACGAGGTCGGGCTCTTCTGTGTGGTGAAGAAGGCCGAGATCGTGGACGGCGAGCCCTTGGTGTCGTTGGGCTTGGTGTTCGACCAGCGGCGCTCCAACTTACGATGGCGGTCGCCGCCGTGGTGTGCCATGGGCGGTGTCAGTGCCATGTCGTTCCTGGACGTGTCCGAGGAGATGACGGAGGAGGGCGCTCGGATGGTCTTTGGGACTGGCGACCTCCCCGACTTCTACTACGCGTTGGACTTGGGCGAGGCGATCGCGCCCTACTTCGTGCTGCCTGGGGTCCGGGCTTCGGAGCTTCTCGACGTTCTCCCCTCGGACGCCTGCCTGAGTGGGTTGGGCGAGCACGTTGGTGTGCGGGTGGCGCTGATGGGCTTTTCTTGGGCCTGCTGGATGGCCCAGACGACCATGGAGGACCTGTTCAACTCTGGTCCCTCCCTGGGCATGCCCGCTCTCGCCGAGGAGCAGCGGCTGGCAGAAGGCGGTCCGCTGCCCCTGATCAGTCGAGAGGTTCCCGCGGCCCACTACGAGTACATCGACGACTTCGGCATCATCGGGGTGGACTACCCTCCCGTCGCCGACGCCGAGCCGCCCACGCAGGTCAGGGACATCTGGTTGGGAGCCAAGTACTTGGTGAACGCCGCGGGCTTCAATGTGCACAAGGACGACTGCTCGGGGCAGGCTCGGATGATCGGCGGGGACTTTGTGGGCACCCGCCTCGCCCCGAACCAGGACAAGATGTGGCTGGCCGTGGCCGGGGTGAGCGAGATCCTCAGGCAGCGGTCGGAGTTCCCGGACGCGGTGGCCAAGATCGTGGGCATCCTGTCCTGGGGCTTTCTGATCACTCGAGGGGCCCTGAGCGTCTTCTCGGAGGTCTACCACTGGTGCATGGAGTTCCGAGGGGGCCCCCGCCGTCGGCTGCCCGACGAGGTCCTTCGCGAGCTGGCCTTGGCAGCGGCGGTGGTGCCGTTGGCGTCTGTCGACCTGGCCATGCCCTGGGACCCCACGGTGACGATGTTCGACGCGAGCCTCTACGGCGGGGCTATCATCTCTGCCCAGGCCGACACCCAGGAGATGCGTCGCGAGGCTCGCTTTGCTGTCAGAGGAGGTTGGACCGTCTGGACTGGCATCTCGTCTTCCTGGGCGGCGGACTCTTGGGCAGAAGGCGAGGCGTATCGGCGAGTCGCCGAGGGCGTCGAGCTCGGGACGCGCGTGAGAGCCCCTCCGGTGCACGCTTGCTGGGACGACATGTCGAGGTGGAAGGAGGTGGTCCGCTGGCGCTGGGACGAGAAGGAGCACATCAACCTTCTGGAGATGAGGACGGGCTTGGCGGCGGTGAGGCACTCCGCTCGGTCGCGTGCGAGCTGGGGCCGTCGTCACCTTCGCATCGCCGACTCCATGGTGTGCCTGGGCGGTTTCAGCAAGGGCAGGTCAGCCAGCAAGCCGATCCTCATCTTGTGCCGCCGGATGGCCGCGATCGACCTGGGCTGCGGCATGAGGGAGTACTGGCGCTGGGTGCCGTCCGACCGCAACCACAGCGACGGCCCCAGCCGGGGCTTCCCGATCGGGCAGGCGCCGAAGGAGCGACTGCAGGGCGAGACCGTGCTGCCCGCCGAGACGGGTCAGGTGATCGAGGAGCTGGCGGACATCGCGGAGGAGGATCCGTTCGCGCCGCTACGGCTGGGCTGGCCCGTGAGGGCGAAGGTGCTGCGCTTCCTGCACCTCTGCAGCGGCCACACGCGCTCGGGCGACTTGGAGTTCTGGCTCGCGCGTCTCGCGGCCCGTCGGGGGTATGTGATGCAGTGCACGAACGTGGACATCGGGTTCGGGCCGGAGTTCGACCTGTCCGAGGAGGTGAACGTGCGGAGGCTGGAGCTGCTCGCCGAGCTGGAGGTGGATGGAGGCCATGCTGGGCCCTCGTGCGCTACGTGGTCGAGGGTGCGCTTCCAGCCAGGAGGACCTCCTCCCTGTGCGCCTCCGCTCGCACCCTTGGGGCCGTCCCGGTCTTCATGGCGCCGACTTGAGGAAGGTGGAGATGGGCTCGGCGCAGTTGTTGAGCAGCCTGCGCGTGCTCAGGGCGATTGGCCTCCGAGGTGGCTCGGTCTCGCTGGAGCACCCTGCCGACCCGGGGAAGCCTCCGTTTCCCTCGATCTTCGCGCCGCCCGAGGTGCTGGAGTGGGAGGAGACTCTCGGTGCCTACAGGGTGACCTTCCCTCAGTGCATGCGGGGCTGCCCCGCTCTCAAGTTGACCACCATCTCGGGAACAGCCAAGCACCTGCAGCGGTTCATTCGCCCATGTACTCACAAGAACCACATGGCGAGCTTGTGCGGGAAGGACGAGACTGGCCGCTTCAGGACGCGGGTAGCCCAGGCTTACTCGTCCGAGCTCTGCCGCGTGCTGGCGGAGTGCCACCTGGACGCTATGCTGGACGGGCGCGAGCGGCGCGAGGCGGAGTTCACAGAGAGGGCCGTGGAGCTGCTGATCAAGGAGACGCTCGAGCGGAGGCGGCGCGACATCCGGGACATCGACGTGCTGCCCGCCTCCTTCCTGGAGGCCTCAGGCTGACCGTCTCCGGGTCCAGCCTCAGCGCCTTGGCCTGCTGCTTCCTCCCTCGGGCTTGCCATGGGATGCCGCTCGCCGATGGTCGCCTGCGTCACCACTCCCAGGATCGGGGGATGCACGCCACCAACCGACGAAATGAGAGTCAGAGAGCTGGACCCTCTGGTCCCATGCAGACCTCGGAGGCGGGGCTGTCACTTCTGCCCTACTCGGTGGCCAAGAAGACGGCCCTCAACTGCTACGTGCCCAACGTGCGGCGCTTCCTGGAGTTCGCGTTGGACCTCGACCTGCCCATGATGAGCAGGGAGGAGATCGACAATTCCATCCTGGTCTACTCAGACTACCTGGTCGAGGACGAGGAGGTGGGCCCGCACAGGGGCGACTACGTGGTGCATGGCATGGCGTTCGTCTGGCCCGAGCTGTCTACGGGCCTCCCGCGCGCCAATCGGGCTCTGCGGGCGTGGCACAAGATGCACGTGGCCGGCGAGGGTGGGCCTCAGCCGCTCGAGGTGTGGGCTGCCCTGGACGAGGCCATGAGGCTGGCCGGGTCCGTGGAGGCCGCAGATGCAGCAGCGCTGGCGGTCGACGCCTACCTCCGCTCGGCTGAGGTCTTCGCGCTGCGAGTCGAGGACATCGTGGACGCCGATGAGGACGTGGTTGCGATCAAGCTCGGGGTGCAGGAGCGGAACGAGCGCACCAAGACCGGGGTGAGGCAGGGAGTGCTGATCGACCGCCCGCACGTCGCCACCATGCTTCGGGCGCGCAAGGCCGCCAAGAAGCCGGGCGAGTTGGTGTTCGGCTGCTCGGTGGAGGCCTACCGCCGTGCTCTTCGGAAGGCCAGCGACGACATCGGCATCGCCGCCTTCCCCGCCCACTCCGCGAGGCACTCGGGCCCCAGCCACGACGCGGCGGAGGGCTACAGGACGGTGTGGGCCATCCAGCGGCGCGGCCGCTGGGCTTCGGAGAAGTCGGTGCTGCGCTACATGAAGACGCACGCCCTGGTGGCAGCGAGGGCGGCCGTGCCTGCCGCCGTGATGGCGCGCGGTCGGGAGCTCCTGGCCAGGCAGGCGCCGCGCCCGGAGAAGGCGCGAGAGTAAATGCATCAGCTCAATCAGCACATACTTCTAATGCACAATCGATTATTGCGAGTCGGAGGCAGATCGACTACGGCTAATGTGGCAATCCCGCCCACCCAGAGCCCTGTGCCACATGATCCAGGCGCTGTGCGTACCAGCGGTGTGATGGGATTGTGAGTCCAGAGCGAGTTCATCGCTTCGCCTGTCGCTCAGCCGGCTCGTCTCTGGATTTCTGCAAAGGAAGCCGCCGCCCACGGCGGCACCGTGATCATCTGTCAGGACCGAAAATCGTCCTGCCTACTGCTTGCTGCCTCGGGGTCCTGACTTCTGAATGGCTGGCGCCGTTCCGCTGCTCCCGTCTATTGGGGTGAGGTTTTCGGTGGTGAGCCTCTAAATGTGTGTTGTATAAATACAATGAGTTTTTCGGGCCTCCACCTCTCACCCCTTCCCCCTCCCCGACATTTCCCTTGGACATCGGGGGGGGGCGGGGAGCAGCTGAAGCGCCGTCTGTATAACGTGTTATGCATGTGTTCTCCGTCTCAAGTTCTCCCTGTTCCCTCCCTCCCCTCTTTCGTCTTCGTACCTTTCTGCCTCCTCCTCGGTATTGGGGATTGTGAGTCCAGAGCGAGTTCATCGCTTCGCCTGTCGCTCAGCCGGCTCGTCTCTGGATTTCTGCAAAGGAAGCCGCCGCCCACGGCGGCACCGTGATCATCTGTCAGGACCGAAAATCGTCCTGCCTACTGCTTGCTGCCTCGGGGTCCTCACTTCTGAATGGCTGGCGCCGTTCCGCTGCTCCCGTCTATTGGGGTGAGGTTTTCGGTGGTGAGCCTCTAAATTTTCAGAAAGCCTTAGGCCTTCCGAGCTTTCCGAGAAGAGCCGCCCCTTCTCACTTCCCTCCCCCCCTGCCATCGCTCGGACGTCCACCCCGCGTGCATTTTTCGAGCTCGTGCGCGTACAGTCGGGGGCTTGACCTAAGGAACCCAAAATAAGGAACGAGGCCCCTTTTTTCCATGAGTTAAATTTCGATTTCCGATCGAAAACATAAGGAAACCTGAGGCAAACTGCGAAACGCTTAGGGAACGCGGAGCCCCTCCCCAACGAAACGGGTTCCTTCTTCAGGGCCCCGACTGTATTTTTCGCCATCCGCGCAGAGCGTCAATTGGCGCTCTGCACGGATTTCTTTGATCTGCGCTGGACCCCCCTCCCTGGCGCGCGGAGCGCGCCAGGGGCGGCGCCGGAGGCGCCGCCGGGGGGGGGGCCCAGCGCGGATCCGAGAGATCCGCGCGAAGCGCCGAAAGTTTATACGTATGTAGTTGTTTCTTCGTCGGTTCTCGATGGTCCCCGCCGAACGAAGTGGTCACACGTGCAAGCGATGCCAAGCCAGGCTCGCCGCCGAGCGTACGTGGGCCGACTCGGAGGCCCGTGGGGCTCTCTGGGGTCGAAGCAGGCCCCCCTCCAGCGCACTGCACTGGCGGGGCCCCGTGGCGCCGCCCTGGGCGCGGTCCGCGCGCCCGGTTGTCAGCGCTGGCCCTCGAACCCCGCGCGGACCCTCTCGCGAGTCTCGGGCGGGTGGCAGTCGGGGGTGACCCAAGATGGGGGGCGAAGAGAAAAGGGGCCCTGACTGGGGCCCTCAAAGGGCCTTCTGCTGGAGCCAGCAGGGGCCCGAGAGGGGCCCCAGAGGGCCCCTTTCGGGCCCCTGTATCTTCACCCCCAATGTGGGCCAACCCGCACACGCCGAACACGTCAAGAAACCTCGATCCTCCAGCCTCGAGCCTCAAGAAACCTCGATCCTCGAAACCTCGAAACCTCGAAACCGCGATCCTCGAGCCTCCTCGAGCCTCCTCGAGCTCTCGACCCTCGAGCCCCGATCCTCGGTCTTCGAGCCTCCTCGCCCGGCCCAGCGCACCCGCTCCAGAGGCCTCCAGAGGCCCAGAAAGAGCCGAGAGCGTTCTGGCACCTCCGCCCAATGTTTGTCCAGCGCGCCCACGTCCGCGAACTCCAGAGCTCCTGGACGCTCTGGAGCCGCTGCTTCTCCTCCTCCTCCTCCTCCTCCTCCTCCTCTCTCCTCCTCCTCCTTCCTCCTCCTCTCCTCCTCCTCCTCCTCCGTCCTCCGCCTCCTCACCTCCTCCGTCCCCCTCGCCTCCGCCTCCCTCCTCCTCCTCCTCCTTCCTCCCTCCCGTCCTCCTCCTCCTCCTCCTCCTCCTCCTCCTCCTCCTCCTCCTCCTCCTCCTCCTCCTCCGCCTCCTCCGTCCTCCTCCGCCTCCGCCTCCTTCGCCTCCGCCTCCTCCGCCTCCTTCTCCCCCTCCTCCGCCTCCTCCGTGTCGACCGGACCTCCTCGGTCCGCCGCGTGCACCCGCCGCGGGGGGTTGACGCTCGTGCCGCCCGCGCGGTTCTGGGTGCAGGCCCTCCCGGCCTGGGCCGCCTCGCAGTCTCTCTTTCTGCAGCAGGGGCCCGACCACAAGAAGCCTCCCACAGGAAGCCCAACCCCGAGATAACCAGCCTCGAACTTATCTCTATCCCTATGATGGGCGAGCAAAAAGCGAGGACAATCTTAGGGATAGGCCCTGAGAAACTGAGGGAATCCTTGAGATTGGCATCGTGATGAGGAGATGCCCCGCATAGGGATAGGGATATGTTCCAGGCTGGTAACGAGACCCGAGGACGTCCATGGATTCCTGGTGCGCGGACGTCGCGCTTTCCGCCGCAAGAGCATCGAAACCCACGGCACCCAGGGCACCCTGGAGGCAAGCAGGGTGTTCCTTGGCATGGGCCCCCACTGTACCTCGGGCAGGAGGAGGAGGAAGAGGGGAGGAGGAGGAGGAGGAGGAGGAGGAGGAGGAGGAGGAGGAGGAGGAGGGTGGTGATGGGGGGTGGCCTAAATAGGGGGTGTGAGAAAAAAGGCCCCGTGTGGGGCCCGCTTCTCCGCCGGGCCACCCCCCCCCACTACCACCCGCCCGAGCTCCGCGAGTGTATATGCTCATGCCGTCTCCGTGGTTCTCGGTGCAGGCTCTCCTGCCCTGGACCCTTTCTCTCTCTCTCTCTCTTTCTCTCTCTCGCTTTCTCTCTCTCTCTCTCTCGCTCTCTCTCTCTCGCTTTCTCTCTCTCTCTCTCTTTTTCTCTCTCGTACTGCTTCTTTCCACGGCTGCTTCGGCCACGAAGTGCCTGGCAAGCCCGTTGACTGCTCTGACGACGGCGGCGAAGTGTCCGGCAGGCTTGCGGCCGAGGGCCAGCGCGGTGAGCCCGCGGAGGGCGGGCGCCTTTGAGAGTGGGGCGGGCGGGATCTTCTCGAGGCCGCCCCCGCCGAGACATGCTGCTCGCAGTGTGCGGCTGGACCGCTGACCTTCACGTCCCTGGTCCTCGGCTGGACACACCAGCCTTGTGGATGCCACGACAATGGACACCCGAACAGTCCTCTCACTGAGCTGAAACATGTGTGTAAAATGTGGGAGACATGTTCTAGACATGTTCTACACATGCTTTTTACCTGCTTAAAACATGCTTAGCACATGCTTTCGGCACATGGCAACTATTTGGTAACATGCTTCCTCTGAGCTGATCTTCCTCCACGAGGCTAGATGCACCAGCCACTCCGCACGACTGCCACCGAGGCCGCCCGAGGCCGCCCAGAGGCGTGACCCTCGCCTGCGCGGGGAGCCCCTCCCCTGTGCTCTTCCGCGGCCGCTCCTCCTGCCCGCGCCATCTGCCCGAGTGAGCGGCGAGAGGAAACGGGCCTTGCGCGAGCTGGCACGGCGACCTTGCGCGGTGGCTCGCGCGGGCCAGCAGCGCGGAACGCACTGAGGCAAGGGCGCCTTCGCGCGGCCTTGCGCGGGCAGTTTGCGCGCCAACGCCCGTGAAGACGGCCCCGTTTTTCTGCGCCGCTCAGGTGCCGACTCGCCAGGCCGAGTTGCCCCCAAAATCGCTGCGACCAACTTGAGGCGCCCGGTGCAACCTGCTTTCCCCGCGGGCTGCGGGACGCTGCCCCATGGGAGGAGGAGGAGGGAGAGTGGGAGGGGGAGGATGAGGCGGAGGAGGAGGAGGAGAGCAAAGAGGAGGAGGAGGAGGAGGAGGAGGAGGAGGAGGAGGAGGAGAAGGAGGAAGGCCTTTCGAAGGGCACACTCCTGCGGCGCAGGGCGGGTCAGGTGGGGACCACGCGAGCGCCAATCGACGCTCTGTCGCGCGCGCGTGCGGACTGGGGGGAAGGACAGGGGGAGCAGACGCAACACCGCAAAACGCGGGGAGCAGCAGGAGAAGGAGGAGGAGGAGGAGTAGGAGCAGGAGTAGGAGTAGGAGCAGGAGTAGGACTAGGAGTTGGCGTTGGAGTAGCAGTAGTAGTCGTAGTAGTAGTAGTAGTAGTAGTAGTAGTAGTAGTAGTAGTAGTAGTAGTAGTAGTAGTAGTAGTACGTAGTAGTAGTAGTAGTAGTAGTAGTAGTAGTAGTAGTAGTAGTAGTAGTAGTAGTAGTAGTAGTAGTAGTAGTGGTAGTAGTAGTAGTAGTAAGTAGTAGTTCGTACTAGGCGTTAGTCGTAAGTCGTAGTCGTAGTCCGTAGTAGTAGTTTATTGTAGTCGTAGTGTCGTAGTAGTCGTAGTATTAGTAGTATACGTAGTCGTGTAGTCGTCGTAGTCAGTAGTAGTAGTATAGTAGTCGTAGTGGTAGTCGTAGTAGGTAGTAGTAGTAGTCCAGTAGTAAGTGAAAATAGTGTAGTACGTAGTATTAGTAAGTAGTCTAGTCGTAGTATAGTCGTAGTTAGTGTAGTCGGGTAGTAGTAGTAGTAGTAGCAAGTAGTAGTAGTAGTAGTAGCACAGTAGTAGTGGAGTAGTAGGCGTAATTAACATAGTAGTAGGAAGTAGTAGTAGTATTAGTAGTAGTTGTAAATTAGTAGTAGTAGTAGTAGGTATAGTAAGTAGTCGTAGATAGGAGTATGGAGTAGTCGTAGTCGTAGTAGTAGTAGTAAGTAGTAGTAGTCGTACGTCAGTCTTAGTAGCAGTAGTTCGACGTCGTCGTCGCACCAAACCAGTTAGTAGG